TATATATATATAAACATATAAACAAATAAAAATAAAAATAAAAATAAAAAAGAGTCTTACATATAATATATATCAAAAAAAAAAAAAAAAGAGTCTTATTAATATATATCAAAATAAAAAATAAATAAAAAAAAAGTATCAAAATAATAAATAAATAAATAAAAGTAATAACATATATAAACGTAAAAATCAATCTTCTCAGTCGAAACCTGAGAGAGAGAGAGACGAGAGCGAAAGAGGGAGACAGAGGCGAAACGAGAGAGAGCGAGAGACGCAGAGAGGAGATTACCTTCGAAACGACTGGAGAGCGACTGAATGATAGCCGCGACCTGAGACGACTGGATCACTGTGGTTCTTTCGATCGACGTCGGAGGGCTATAAGATCGACGTCAGAGGTCTCGATCGACGTCGGAGTGGTCTTGCGACGTGAGAGACAAGCTTCGATCACAACTTCAGAGGGCTTCGACTGAGAGAGAGGGCTTCGACTGAGAGAGAGAGTCTTTTTCAGGTTGATTTCACTCCTTTACTCACACTTGTTCTATTTAGGTGTCCTGTTTTGTTCTTTTTTTTTTTTACTTTATTAAAATTATACTTTGGACCCCAATATAAATATAAAAAATTTCAAAAATGAGCCGCTGTCCCATTGCCGTGTCCAAAAATCCATCTGGCGTGTCCCGTACGTGTCCCCGGCGTGTCCGCGTGTCGGACACTGCTACGGCATCAATTTTGGAGTGTCCATGCTTCATAGATTCTGACCATTAAACAGAGCGGTGGTGATTTTGAGACTAGGGTTTAGGTTCTCAGATATAGCAGTCATAACTGGATTGGAGCTCTCCCCTTTAGATGGGTGAGAAGTAGTGGTGGATTCACTAGTTAGGTCAGCCATAAAAGGTCTACAATTTCAACCCACAAAACCTTGCACGAATCACAAGAATGGAAAGAGGAATGGAATGGGCTGGAACAAGCAAAATCACATACAGACCACTATGGGAACATAACAATTAGATTAATAGGCCATCTATGGACCCAAAAAATAAATCAAATACGGGAAAATGAACCTCCAATCAAAACAAGTGCTGAACTGTGTTCAAGAAAGTAGAGGGAAAGAAACTTGGGCCACCAAAATATAGGCAGCCCTCAAACACTCATCCACAGGAGCCGAAATACACAAAGAGACGCTAGGACAGCCCTCACAAGGGTCAACTAGGCCAGAGGGGCCTTCGGCTGAAGCCAAAACAGCTTTGTGGGACCTTGGCTGGTTCCGACAAAGAATTAGGGACCAACGGTGGAGGATGGGTGATGATAGCTGATGGCTGGTTGGTGGCAACGGCTATGTGGGTGACAGTTTTTAGGGCTATTGCTCTGATACCATGTAATTTAAAAGAATACAAAGCTTAGGTGATGATTATGATGTCATCACCTTTTATATTAATCAATCAACTCCACAAAAGGAAGCCCTAAGGCACTGATTAAGGAATCACCTTTTATATTGATTGATTGATTATCAATCAATCACAATCTAATCTAAATAAGGAAATATTCCAACACATTATTCAGTCTATTACAACATTTTTCTCCAACTCATGCCCATAACTCACCTTGAGAATACAATATGTACAACTTTCATTCAGCTTCAGCAGAACATACACAAAATGGGCCAATCTTCGGCTTTGAACATACTAAAACTACTGCTATTCTGATATTGTGTGTGCCGCAAAAAATCATGGCTTGCTTTTGTTATTTGCTTAACTCTACCTAGTATTTGCTAAGTTTCTTTTTCAGCTTTCCCTCTTATAGGTGCAACAGAGGATGTCATGGGTTTGACACACTTTTAACATCACGTGCCGTGCTCGACCTCCAAGAACCTGAGGGTTGTCAGTTCAGCACGCTTCAAAAACATTACAAAAAGTTCTGACAGCAGATCAACCTTCTAGACATGCAGCCCAGAAGGTCAAATAAGAACTGTACAACAAATTATGCAATGCCCAATGGGGTAAATTAGTTCCAACAATCTAACTCAACATTCTATGACAACAGGCTCCATGGGTCCAGTCACTACAAGAACCATACAAAAGGCCCAAAGTTAAAATCAGTTACTAACTTGTTGGACAAGAGCTACTAACCCAGCTTATCAGCATATGTAAGTGTCAAGGTGGTACAAAACACCATCAACAACTACTTCTATTTTTTCTCACTCAAATACCAAATAATAGAAATATGAATGAGAACCAAAGTATTAAAAGGCTTTAGTCAAGCTCACCTCAATGCTTGTCTCGAGGCAAGACTAAGGAAAAACGCCTCAAGGCTTTGATTTTTAGGCTTTACCCCCCAAAGGCTTGCGCACATAGTCTGAGACATGTGCCTTGTATGCCTTTTACGCATAAGAATGTGAGGCATACACATATGAAGAGTTTGTCTTACGATCTTGTTAAACTTAGTCTAGTAAATGGTTTTTTTTAATTATAAAAAAAAATAACCAAAAAAAAAACCTTTTGCAACTATATTCTATAGGAAAAGTTGCGTAAATGACCAATCAAGAAAAAACACAAAGTTAGTGATTAATGAGAAACTTAATCACTAAAGCTAAAAATACTAATTTCACTCTCAATAGAGCAAAACTTCCTTCTCTGCAATGAGCCTTGAGCAAAACATATTTACTTACACCTTTATATTTAATTTTGATATATTTATTTATTGTTTTAAAATATTTACTAAATATAAAAATTTAGAATTTGAAATGCTTAGCCCTTAAGGCTTACGCCTTGCCTCATGAGGGTTAAAATGTCTCATTTTACGCATTCGCCTTTAAAAACTTCGATGAGAACAACACTCATGTTAGGTGAAAAACAAAAATGAAAAATAAAGGAATCCTAATTATAGTATTGTGAGATATAAAAAAATGCATGTAAGATTTTCAAAAGAAAAAATTGGAAATTTAACCATAAAAACCTACATGAACTCATAGCTAGGTAAAAACTAACACTTCAAATCTCGATTAATATTACGAATGAGTTTGAACATTAAAATGTTAGATTTTATACATATCAATATAAAAAAATTAGGACAAACTTCACTTTTGCCCCTTATGATTTGGGCCATGTGCAGTTTACCCCCCTTAACATTTGAAAATGACCACATAACCCCCACGTGGTTTGTGGACTGAAGTGCACAATTAAACATTACGTCCAGCTTAATAGCAAGCATAGTTGTCAAATCGTGAATCGAAATGGCCTTGTACCGAATCGTGAAGTGAATCGAATCGTAAATCGTAAAGATTCGGTCACTTTTTATAAATTACTTAGAAAAATATATCTACACACTTGGATGTTAAATATAAGGAGAACGACATGCAGGTGGAAGGGAGAGAAAAATTACTAACACATGGGGAGTGCAAGTGTGTCTATGGTGGGATGCAAATAAAAGACTGTACTTGCACCCCTCTCTTGTGTAGGTAATTTTTTTTCTCATCTCACCTGCATGTAGTTCGCCCTTAAATATATCTTATAAATATAAAATATTCAAACCAATCAATGAAATGTTATTTTGAATGATGATAACGAGGTCTGATAGGTAAGAAATTAACACAGGTTTCCATGTAAGATCACCATCTTACCTTTTCCTTTTTTAGATATTATTTATCATGCATTCTTAATAAAGAAAATAAACAAAGACAAACTTTCAATTTTCAAGTAACAATAACTTAACAACTATCTAATTGGAATCCTATTAAAAACTCCATGATCTCCAAACTAACAACAAATCATGTATATATATTGGTTATTTTTGTACTAAACCCTATTAAAAGTTGTTTTGTCATTTTAACTAAAAAAGAGGGGAAAAAATAATCGAAATATGTCGGATATGATAGTTTCAAGAATTGCATGAATCGTAAAAAGTGAATCGAATCGTGAATCGATTGTAAATCGTGTTGTTCACTAGAGATTCACTTTCAAAACAGATTTACCTATAGATTCGTATCGATTTTGCAAAAAATGCGAATCGAATCGTGTATCGAATCGCGAATCAAATCGTGTATCGAATCACGAATCGCGAATTGTAAGATTTTGATAGCAGAGACAGCAAGTGTGAAACACGTGGCAGACATAATATGCTCATTTTCAAATTTTAAGGGGGTAAATCGCACATAGAATAAAATACAGGGGGTTAAAGTGCACTTTTCCTTCCAAATGAATAACAAAATATTCGTAATTCACACTTAAATTACTTATATACATAGGTACTTTAGTCTTTTTCAATAAATCGTTAATGGGCCTAACAGTGCACTTCAGTCCGCAAATCACATGGGGATTATGTGGTCATTTCCAAATGTTTGGGGAATAAATCACACATGGCCCAAACCACAGGGGATAAAGAGAAGTTTGCACAAAAAATTATGGGCACATTTAAATATAACATACACAAAAATATCATAAATTCTTCATTTAAATCACTTGCTTAAGATAAGGCTTTGTCCCAAATACAAGAGCACTAATGCTAATGCAAAATGACTTCTTAGCACGTCATACTAAAATCTTCTAAGTTATTGGAATAATTACAAATTCAAGTAAAGGTGATCATAGGTTAAGAAATAGTTCGGCTCAAGTAATCTGCTAGACATTAGAACCTTTAAATCTTTTACTCGTTGTATTAAATCACAATTCAACAATGATTTTTATCATCACCAAATTTTACACAGGCTTAGTTTCTAAAATACAGACTTACCAATTTGGTTAGGAACTTAGGACTAACACAGCCTAATAAACTTAGAAGATAAAGCTTAAAAAGCAAGTATATAAAAACCATACTCAGCTCAATTTAACGCAATTTGGTCCATGAATGTATGTGATAGAATTTTTTTTATTTCTTTAGGAAAAACAAATTATTTACCCATGTATTATACAACAATCTTGAGATTCGTATTTGAAGCCCAAATCCCTTCATTTCAAATTTATCCATCGAAATGCAACCTAGGGGGGTATGATATGCTTTCTAGTTTCTACCTGATACACGTAGAAAACAGCCTCCGATGCAATTTCTATCTGTGAAATTGAGTAGTTGACAGGAGACCTATAATGTGTGCCCATCAAGAAATGCCTCAAGGCCAGAGGATGGTAAAGTTTGGTAACCTACAGAAAAGAAGAAAAAAGATAAACCCAGAATGCGTCAGAACTTGCAATAGAAACTCTTAAGAGAATACCATATAAAGCTACCAAGATATCAAATATAAATAATAAATTTCCCTTTTACCTCACGAATAGTGAAAAAATTCCCAAGAGATTTCGACATTTTCTCATCATTTGCAGTGACAAACCCATTATGCACCCAATAACTCACATTGCTATCCGAGCAGGCAGCACAGCTTTGGGCAAGCTCATTCTCATGATGCGGAAAGATCAAATCCATTCCACCACCATGAATATCAAATGAATAAGTCAGATAATGAGCACTCATCGCACTGCATTCTATGTGCCATCCTGGTCTTCCAGGACCCCAAGGGCTGTCCCAACTTGGCTCACCAGGCTTGGCAGCCTAAAGCAAGGAAAATATAGGGAAATCATATGCATCAGAAATGATAATTAAGATAAGGAAAGTTGTGAAGGAATTCTACCTTCCACAATGCAAAGTCGGCAGGATTTTGCTTTCTTGAATCAACGGCAACCCGTTCACCAGCTCTATTGTCCTCTAGCTTCCGTCCAGATAATTGGCAATAATTTGGGTATTTATCAACAGAAAAGTACACATCCCCTTCCACTTCATAAGCACAACCATTACGAATAATCTGCAAGAGAAGAAAAAATAGAACATTAAAAAAAGAAGACTATTCAGGAACATTAAACAAATCCAACCAAAAAAAAGGAAGCAACAAACAAAGAAGAAGTTTAACAAAAGAAACAAGTTGTGTATGCCATGACTAGTTATCAATTTCAAGTGTACATGACAGTCGTTGTTTGCTTCCAATAAATCTCATATCCTCAAATACAAGTCGTCAGGAAAATCACAAAATTCTTTCACGAGAATGCACCAACTTAACTCAATAAAATTGATAACTAGAACGGAACACAAGAATATCCACACACGAGTTATGTTAATATGTTTTGTAGCATTTGAAAAATGCATATTCCAACTAAAGGAATATATTACTCACTATTGTAGCAAGTCACTTGGAGTACAATTTCTTGAAGCATTTTATTGTAGTCTCATCTCCATATATCAAATATGTTCATTTGTGCCTCATGCAAGTACATGCCTGTGCATATGTGTTTGTGTAACTGCACAGACACACAAGTCTATGCATGCCTCTTTGTGTGTGAGAGAGAAGGGGGGTTAATTTATCCAACAAATAGGAGAAACACAAAGACCATAATGGGTGTTAGTTTCTCATCCATTGTTGGACCCATTTCTTAACATCCTAAACTTTGGGGACAATTGATGATCAAACATGGTTTTAGAGCTCTAGTTCCATGAGGTCCTAGGTTCAAGTCTTATCATCCTCTTTATCTCCGCTGTTGTGTGATTTGTGTTGCTTGTCTTTGTGCACCTCCTTCACTCAATCTGTATGAGAGACAGGATTGCACGTGAAGAGAAGTCTTATATTAGTACTCCCTCCATCCCAAAATATTAGTCCCTTATTCCATTTTTCATTATCCCAAAGTATTAGCCTCTTTTCAAAAAATCAAGGACAAAAAAACATGAATTTCCTATTTTGTCCTTTTTTTAAATTCTTATACAAAAAGTATAATTATGACAATTGATGTTCCCAAAAAAATTCAAAGGGTAGTTTTGGAAAGTAAGTATTTTTGAAGTGTAATAATTGTGCTACCAAAAAAAGTTGGATTCCTCAAAAGGGGCTAATATTTTGGGACGGAGGGAGTATATATTATTGAGCTCATTTCTTAATCATTAAGCTTTTGGGACAATTGGTAATAAAAATATAGGACCATAAGTACCTGAGCTATCATATCCCTGATTTGGTCCATGTGTTCAGAAACACGTGGCTGATGCGTAGGAGGAAGGCACTGAAGATCAACCATATCATCAATAAATTCTTGGCAGTAGCGGCTACTCAGAGCTAATGGATCCTCCCCAAGCTCATTTGCTCTCCGAATTATCTAAGAAAATACAGATGTTAACAGCAACAGCATAATATGATGCATTTAAAGCATAAGAAAAATATTAAAGCAGCAAAAAGTGTAGTTGGACAGGTTTTTCCATAAAAACTACAAAAGATGCTGAGTTATTAAATAACACAGAAACTTAATTGGAATGTGTAATTTGCTCATCAATTAAACTTAAATTGTAATCAGTAAGAAAAATGTAAGCCACTTTAACCTTTGTTCAGCCACTCATCTAGAATTAAGACATGTACATTGATGACAAGTTAAATTCAAAACACAGATTTATTTAGTACCAGGTTTGACCTTAAAATGCAGGTTAAAAATTGGTCATTTAGGATACAAATTCTACACGTGTTTGGAACCTGCACTGCAATACCCAGATATGTTCCAAAATGAATAGATATGACCAATTCAGATAAGCAGGACATGGATCAACTGAAATATGTTGAACTTCCTGATAGCCAACTCTGTATCTATCTGCATGTAATACATAATAATATGCTAACTCATATGTCACTTCAGCTAATTAAGGTCCAAGTTGGAAGTGGAAAAGGCCGACCAGACAAATGAGAAGAGAAGCCTTAGTTTTGTTTGGTGTACATTTTCAAAAACTATTTTGAAACGGATTTTTGTTTGTCTTTACTGAACTTTTTTCATATTTTAGTCAATGTTTTTTTACTTTTTAGATACATCAAGATTAGATGCATCTAAAAAGTAAAAAAGTTTAACTAAAATATAAAAAAAAAATTCACTAAAAACAAACGGAAACCTGAACAAAACTGCACACAGATTTTTGTTAGAATTTTCATTTATTTTTAGTATTTTTTTTAATATTTTAGCCAATCTGTTTTACTTTATAGATGTCTCTTGATTAGGTGCATCTAAAAAGTACAAAAAAATTGAGTAAAATATCAAAAAAAATTCACTAAAATAAACGAAAACTCATCTAAAAACAGTTTTTGAAAAACCAAACCAAACAGACACTATGGCAAGAATTCAATAGGAACTCACAATGGACATTCTAAACAAGAAGCTTCACAATTAAAGTCATTTATGGGTACCAGTGACAACTGGAACTGCAACAATATCATGTGTATTAACAATAGACACTTCTGTGCAATTTAATAATGCAAGTGAGAAAAGAGTTTAAAACCACTGCACAAATAATAGGGAAGAGAAACAGGGGATCTGTTGTGATAGGGATGATGAGAGTATCATGACAAGGGGAGCAGTTAAGCTGCGCCTAAGTCTAGAGATGAGAACTAGGTCTAAGGGTTAACTTGTGGGCTAAGAAGCATGGACACGGACACGTGACACGACACGAATACGACACGGACACGCCGACACGTTAATTTTAAAAAAATGCAGGACACGACACGTGGAGGACACGCATGAAATATATAATTTTATATATTTATTATATATTATATATATGAATATATCATTCAAAGATAATAAAAAATGCAATATAGCACTATTTCCTATAAATTTATATGGTTTTTGTTTTATTATTGTATCTTAAGTTGTTTTGTTCAAACTTATAATTAGTTTCACATATGTATAATCAATAGACACATGTGTTTAAACAATTGACACGTGTGTCCTCCAAGTGTCCAAAGAGTGTCCGGGTCTTTAAAAAAATTTAAAAAATAGGACACGTTTTGAAGAGTATCGGACACGTGTCCTAAGAGTGTCCAAAGAGTGTCGGTGTCCGACACGGACACGACACGGATACGTCACCTTCTTAGAAGTGTCCGTGCTTCTTAGCTTGTGGGGTTCTATCATGAAATTACCAAAGGGAGATATTGCTAGTATTAGAACTAGCATTAGGTTGGCCATTTTATTTATGACTATGTAATTTGCATCTTAGGAAAATCCAAGTAACTGCAATAAGCATAGCATATTAGTCATGCCTTAGAGCCTTGGAAGCTTGAAGTGCCTGTGAGAGAGCTTCATCATCATGAAAGATGCTATAGAAGAGTTTCATCGCCACCAAGGTTGCTTTGGGCAAAGCTAGGAGTGAGAAGACCTTAAAGGGTTGACACAATTGTGCATTTAGACATTTTGTTCAATTAACTTGGAGGTTGGTTGACCAAGGTAGTCTAGGTCACTAGTGAGTAGCGACCAACCACAGAGGCTTGTCGACCAGATAGGGTTGTCTATCATACACACATTTGGATTCGCCCATGGTAAGTTCTAGAGTGTTGGAAGCTTTGCAGAACAAGAAGGGGCAGCCAAACTTTGGCTATAGGCAGACCCACTGGAATCTCAATTTAAATCTGTTAGGCTATGAGCTGATGAAAAGCCTGCTATGCCATGTGAAAGGAAAAGTATGATACCAAGTGACCTCATTGGGTATTCATGACGAGAGACAAGTACTTGAGAGCTAAAGCACCTCTATTCGCCCTAGATCACGTCATTTCAAGGTTTCCCATCTTATGTAAGTGTAAGTTTGTGAAACCTCGTTTACACCAATGGAGAAGAGTTTGCTCCTTGGAAGTTTTGGAGTTATCATCTTGAAGGTATAACTACTCATCCTAATGCTATACATAATTGTTTGTATACACAGTTATAGTATCACCACCCCACACATAAGGAACATAATTTCATTTCATTTCCAATGTACTCAGGAAAAATGGTCATATTTTTGTACTTTTAATCTATTATGCAAGATAAAATGTTGTTACACGTAGCATTCATTGTCAAAAGGCATTTTACTCATTTTATAGCAATTATACAACAATATGTACATATAGTGATAATGTTAAATACAAATATATAACTATCCAATGAAAAATATCAAACACATATCCCACACCCTTGTCCAAGTGTCGAGTGTCCGATACAAGAATTTGATTTACTTTGAAGAGTCTATGTAACAAAGCTTGTGTATCTTGGTCCTAGTGCAGATAACACCCAATTAAATAAATAAATAATATAGAACACAAACGCAAAATCTAGCATTAGAAAAAAAACTAAGATGATAAAATGCTCCATCTGAAACACAATTTCATAACCTATTAACACATTGAATTTAAAACCTTGGCCTGCATCATAAAAGTATAGAATATGGCTCAACACAACACATTTGACTTCTCACCTTATCATCAACATCAGTGAAATTCCGTACGTACTTGACTTCATAACCTAAGTGTTGTAAGTACCTGCAAAATTCCAACTCAATAGAAGCATGATTTCAATTTTGAGCCAAATAATGAAAAATCATGAAGACAATATTCTTTTGTAAAAAAAAAGGCAATAAAGCATGATTGGAATATACAGCTTAATAACCCAACCCTTTATGGAGGATGCAAATGGAGAAACAAACGTGCATGCAAACTTCAAGATACCAGATTTTATTTAAAATTATTAAAAAAAATTCTCACCTGAATTTCATGAAGCAACAAAGTAAAATCATTTTACAGGTTTTGATTCTAAAACACTTTCTATGCGATCTTACTAATATGATGGCAGCATGCAAGCATTACAGACTACAATTAACAAATGTAGGTCGAATAATATCCCAAACAAAACCCCTTTCTAATAAATCCTATGTTCAGAAAACTGGACATTCTGATTTGTCCTGAAGAAAATGATGCATTACTCATACTGACATCAAAAATTTAGTAAACATGGACCGGGCAACCAATAATACGACATTCTAATGTTTTCAAGTGATTCAACAAAGTAAATTTCACAGGAGCTGTTTGAAATTTTAGACAATGCGAGCAAAGGGTACAAATAAATAACTAGTAATAAAGCAGTTCTATAGGACAGGTCAGGCAGTCCTAATACTACTGGAATTGCATGTAGCATAATCCCCAACTCAAACACCACCTTTGTAATTATTTTAAAGAAAAATTAAAAAAACAGAAATGAATATTACCAGATATCATATACCCCCAGTGGAGGAACATTGAAAGGCCAATGCTTTTTTTTTTCTTTTTTTTCCCCTTTCAATTGCAAGGCCAATGTGATATGACTAATACTTTTCTCTATCAAAAAGTAATTCACTGTACTCCAAAACATTGAAAATTATCAAAATTGAGATTTAACTCACAATCAGTATAGTTGAAGAGCAGAGTCTATTGGTCTCAAATTAATTGCATATATTACGGAAATTGAAACCTATCGAGAGATAGAGGGGAACCTGAAGAGGACATCGAAGGCGACATAGGCACGAGCGTGGCCGATGTGGCTGAGGTCGTAGGCGGTGACGCCACAGACATACATGCCAACCTTGCCTGCCTCTTTCGGCTTGAAGATCTCCTTCTGCTTCGTCATAGTGTTATACAACTGAAATTCCGCCATTTTCAATCAAACCCTAGTTTTGCAGAAACCCTAGTTTTGCAGAAACCCTAGTTTTGCAGAAACCCTAGTTTTGCAGAAACCCTAGTTTTGCAGAAACCCTAGTTTTGCAGAAACCCTAGTTTTGCAGAAACCCTAGTTTTGCAGAAACCCTAGTTTTGCAGAAACCCCTTGGTAAATCTTGTGCTTCGTTTACGTGGGAATAAATTTAGGAAAAGATTCCCTTTATTAAATCGCTTCGGCCCTGCTTTGGGGGGAGATGTGACTCCATCTATACCAGTTTTATTTGAACTGGCTGTTGTGTATGAGTTTGGATCCACTATCGCGATGTCCTATAATGCTTTTTACACTGGTCTCTAAAATTGTAGGAAATTTTTTTAGAATTTTATTCCATCTATTTTTTTTTTTTTTTTTTTGACTATTACATTAGATCCTATTTGAGATAAGAAGATCAAAATACCCTTTTCATCTACTTATGTTCCATTTAGTTTACATTATTTTCTTATGTTTCAATAAGTTTTATGGGTGACATAATTACCAAAATACCCTTAATATGAATGTTCATATCGTCAATGTGTAGGGACCCAGCCCATGTCGATCCTCATGGGTGCCCGAAAAAATTTGAGTCGAGCCGGGGCGGTCCCGACCCATTGACAATGTGAATATTCACATTGACATGTTAATATTCACATGAATAGAAGTGTAAAATTGGCCCACGTCCCGTGGCGGCGTGAAACACGCCCGCGGCCCATGGGCGCCCCGGGGCGGGTCCAGTCCGACCCGTTCACAATGTAAATATTCATATTGACATATTAACATTTACATTGATAAGAGTATCAAATTGGCCCACAGCCCATGGATAGCCAAAAGCCCGCCTACGGCCCGGGGCGGGCTCGATCCAGCCCGTTGACAATGTGAATATTCACATCGATGGGAGTGTAAAATTAGTCCGCGCCTCGTGGCTGTCCGAAACCCACCCACGGCCCTTAGACGGCCCGGGCAGGCCTGGCCCGGCCTGTTGACAATGTGAATATTCACATTGACATATTAATATTCACATTGATAAGAGTATAAAATTAGCCAGCGGCCTAGGGCGGGTCCGGCCCGGCCCGTTGATAATGTGAATATTCACATTGATATGTTAACATTCACATTGATAGGAGTGTAAAATTAGCCCGTGCCTCGTGGCTGCCCGAAACCCGCCCACGGCTAGTGGGAGGCCCGGGGCGGGCCTGGCCATTTTTTTTAATTCTTTTTAATTTTTTCTACCAAAATTTTATTATTTTCTACAAAAAAAGACACTAGGCCTCGGCGCGGGCCGGGCCTCGGATCGAGCCTTGAATGGGCCTTAACCGGGCCGATAGGTCGGGCGGGGCTTCGAAGTGATGGCCCAGGCCCTAGCCTAGGGTCTCGGACTAGGCTCGAGCCTAGGCCCAAACGAGCCTTTCCCGGGTCGGGTCGGGCCGGCCCACTGGCCAAAAAATTAGGCCCAGGCCCTAGCCCTGGTACAAGGATATTCGGGCTTTGGACGGGCCGATGGATCGAGCCTCGGGTCAGGCCGGTAGGCCTGGGCCTAGTCTAGAGCTTAGGCGGGGTTTGGCCGGGCCTGGTCATTTTTTTTTAATTCTTTTTAATTTTTTCTATCAAAATTTTATTATTTTCCACAAAAAAATACATTGCGCCTCAGGCGGGCTGGGTCTCGGACCGAGCCTTGAATGGGCCGGGCCGGGCTTCAAATTCGTTTACGTGGGAATAAATTTAGGAAAAGATTCCCTTTATTAAATCGCTTCGGCCCTGCTTTGGGGGGAGATGTGACTCCATCTATACCAGTTTTATTTGAACTGGCTGTTGTGTATGAGTTTGGATCCTCTATCGCATGTCCTATAGTGCTTTTTACAGTGGTCTCTAAAATTGTAGGAAATTTTTTTAATAAATCCACTTTTTAAGAACTTTATTCCATCTAATCTATATTTTTTTTTTGACTATTACATTAGGTCCTATCTGAGATAAGAAGACCAAAATACCCTTTTTATCTACTTATGTTCCATTTAGTTTACATTATTTTCTTATGTTTCAATAAGTTCTATGTGTGACATAATTACCAAAATACCCTTAATATGAATGTTCATATCGTCAATGTGTAGGGACCCAGCTCATGTCGATCCTCGTGGGTGCCTGAAAAAATTTGAGTCGAGCTGGGACGGGCCCGACCCATTGACAATGTGAATATTCACATTGACATGTTAATATTCACATGAATAGAAGTGTAAAATTGACCCACGTCCCGTGGCGGCGTGAAACACGCTCGCGGCCCATGGGCGACCCGGGGAGGGTCCGGTCCGACCCGTTCACAATGTGAATATTCATATTGACATATTAACATTCACATTGATAAGAGTATCAAATTGGCCCACAGCCCATGGACAGCCAAAAGCCCGCCTATGGCCCGGGGCGGGCTCGACCCAGCCCGTTGACAATGTGAATATTCACATTGATGGGAGTGTAAAATTAGTCCGCGCCTCGTGGCTGTCCGAAACCCACCCACGGCCCTTAGACGACCCGGGCGGGCCCGGCCCGGCCTGTTGACAATGTGAATATTCACATTGACATGTTAATATTCACATTGATAAGAGTATAAAATTGGCCAGTGGCCTAGGGCGGGTCCGGCCCGGCCCGTTGACAATGTAAATATTCACATTGACATGTTAACATTCACATTGATAGGAGTGTAAAATTAGCCCGTGCCTCGTGGTTGCCCGAAACCCGCCCACGGCTAGTTGGAGGCCCGGGGCGGGCTTGGCCTTTTTTTTTTAATTCTTTTTAATTTTTTCTACCAAAATTTTATTATTTTCTACAAAAAAAAGACACTAGGCCTCGGCGCGGGCCGGGCCTCGGATCGAGCCTTGAATGGGCCTTAACCGGGCCGATAGGTCGGGCTGGGCTTCGAAGTGATGGCCCAGGCCCTAGCCTAGGGTCTCGGACTAGGCTCGAGCCTGGGCCCAAACGAGCCTTTCCCGGGCCGGCCCACCGGCCAAAAAATTAGGCCCAGGCCCTAGCCCTGGTACAAGGATATTCGGGCTTTGGACGGGCCGATGGATCGAGCCTTGGGATCGGGCCGGTGGGCATAGGCCTAGCCTTGAGCTTAGGTCGGGCATGGGCGGACTTGGCCATTTTTTTTAAATTCTTTTTAATTTTTTCTACCAAAATTTTATTATTTTTCACAAAAAAATATATTGCGCCTCGGGCGGACTAGGCCTCGGACCGAGCCTTGAATGGGCCTTAAGTGAGCCAATGGGCCAGGCCGGGCTTCAAAGTGATGACCTAGGCCCTAACCTAAGGTCTCGGACATGCTCGGGCCTAGACCGAAACGAGCTTGCCCTGGGCCGTGGGCGGGTTTCGGACAGCTTACGGGCCGCGGGCCAATTCTACATTCCTATCAATGTGCATTTTAACATGTTAATGTGAATATTCACATTGTCAACGAGTCGGACCAGGCCTATCCCGGGCTGCGGGCAAGCTTCAGGCAGCGGGTAAATTTTACGCTTCTATCAATGTTAATGTTAACATGTCAATGTGAATATTCACATTGTCACGAGTCGGACCAAGCCCGCCTCGAGCTGCAATCGGGTTTCGAGCCGCCCACGAGCTGTAGGCCAATTTTACATTCTTATCAATATGAATGTTAACACATCAATGTGAATATTCACATTGTCAACAGGCCGGGTCGAGCCCGCCCTAGGCCGCTGGCCAATTTTATACTTTTATCAATGTGAATGTCAACATGTTAATGTGAATATTCACATTGTCAACAGGCCGGGCTGAACCTGTCCCGGGCCGCCCATGAGCCATGGGCGGTTTTGGGCAGCCACGAGGCGCGGACTAATTTTACACTCCTATCAATGTGAATGTTAATATGTCAATGTGAATATTCACATTTCAACGGGCCCGCCCCTAGCGGCGAGCAGGCTTTTGGCTGCCCATGGGCCGTGGCCCAATTTTTGCACTATTATCAATGTGAATGTTAACATGTCAATGTGAATATTCACATTGTCAACAGGCCGGGCCGACCCCGCGCCCGAATCGCCCATGGGCCATGGGCGGGTTTCCGGCAGCCACGAGGCGCGGGCTAATTTTACACTTTTATCAATGTGAATGCTAACATGTCAATGTGAATATTCACATTGTCAACGGGCCGGGTCGGGCCCGCCCTAGGCCGCTGGCCAATTTTATATTCCTATCAATGTGAATGTTAATATGTTAATGTGAATATTCACATTGTCAACGGGCCGAGTCGGGCCCGCCCTAGGCCGTTGGCCAATTTTATACTCTTATCAATGTGAATGTTAACATGTCAATGTGAATATTCATATTGTCAACAGGCTGGGCCGGGCCCGCCCCGGGCTGTCCATGGGTTGTGGGCGGGTTTCGGGCAGCCACGAGGCGCGGGCTAATTTTACACTCCTATCAATGTGAATGTTAACATGTCAATGTGAATATTCACATTGTCAACGGGCCAGGCCGGGCCCGCCCCGGGCGGCGGGTAGGCTTTTGGCTGCGCATGGGCCACGGGCCAATTTTATATTCTTATCAATGTGAATGTTAACATGTCAATGTGAATATTTACATTGTCAATGGGCCGGACCGGGTCCTCCCAAGGCTGCCCATGGGCCGCGGGCAGGTTTCGCGCTGCCACGGGACGCGGGCCAATTTTACACTCTTATTAATGTGAATGTTAACATGTCAATGTGAATATTCACATTATCAACGGGCCGGGCCCGCCCCGGGTTATAGCGATCCCGGTTTCCCTTTTCTTTAACTGTTGTATCCGGACTTAGGTTCCGCGGAGTTGGTTGTCGTGTATATCTTGTTTACATCATTTACTCCTTGCATTCGAGTCTTGGGTTGTGTTGGGCGAGTTTGTTACAGGTTGGTTGAACTTAAAAACCAAGAGTAGTTGCCCAGATTTTGGCCTTCACGCTCGAGCGGGGATTTTGACGCTCGAGCGGGCCCTTCGTTATCGTCTGTCCGTTCGAGCGGGGTTTTCGACGCTCGAGCGTAGTTTTC